TGAAGATAAAGAGAGTGGGTAACAGAGAGAGTGTCCAGGAAACTCAGAAAGGAAGGAGGCTCTCCCGTGTTCAGAGGCTGGGGTTTTTACTGGGGATGGTGATCTGGGGCATGCGTCCTCTCGGGCATCCAGGAACCACTTAGGACAAAGACAAGGGCCCAGGTGTCATTCCTTGGAGCAGAAGGGTCTTGGCATTGGTGTCCAGCTCAAGTGGTCTGGGATGCGCAAAGGATAGCCTCCTGGAGAACCTTAACTCCTTGTCCCATACAAGGAGGATGTCTGCTATTTGTGAGGCATGTGTAAAGTGGGGTCGGGGATACAGGTCCCAGCGAGGATAGAAGCAGAAAAAAGCAGATTTTGATGGAGTCCTTCAGTTTCCCTGTCTCACTCCCACCTGAAGAAGAGAACAAAAACTAGTGGCATCACCCAGGCTGGATTTTGTTTCCCCTTTACTCTATCCAGAGTGGCTAATGCCAGCCTGGGGCTGGGGGAGGGGTTCCAGAGTGAGCCTGAGCTCCTGGGGTTAGATGGGTCACCTTAGCTTCCCCAGCTAACATTTACCTCTCACAGCCACTTCACACCAGGGCTGGTTCCCTAGCCACCCAGGCACAGGGAGGTACCATACCCTCTCCTCCCTTCTTCCTTTTCTTGAACAAATGCTTTCATCTTCTTTCAACCAGTCAGATTGCTCTTGAGAATCCCACCCCTGCCACCCACTTTTGGAGAACTGCCCATGAAAATTTTTCCTTCATGATGAGACTAGATGCTTGGTCCCTGGACCTGTTTTGAAGGCATAAGCAGAACTATAGTTGCATTAGTTGCATTATGATTAACTTAGCTCCATGGTCTGTTTTGTTCTCTACTTAATTACACACCTCTTAATCTCACCCACGGATAAATCATTAATTTTGCCTTCTGACCCCTACTCCCTATTTACCCAGTAGTTGTGGTAACCTAATGGGGACCACAAACTAATGTTTATCTTGAAATTATCTGATGTGCCTGATCACCTGATCATATCCCTCATGGTGCCTCACTGTCCTAAAGAAAGGGTATCTCCATATTGTTTCAAGCCTCCCTCCTTCAAGATTTCAAGAAGCCCCTCACCCTCCTCTCATGCATGTAAGTTGTCCCTGGGCTCAACGGGGCAAGGCAGCTTTGGGAATGATGCCCGGCCTTCTCACTGGGCTGCCTTTCTCATAGTAAAGCTTTACTTTGCTTCAGAACCCGTGTCCCAGACATTGGTGCCCAAGTTCGGTCCAGTAACAATGACAGTCATTTCCATGTCTGCATGTCTTACTGAACCTGATTAAAACAAAACCTGGGGGCGCCTGGGTGGCTCAGTTGGTTAAGCCTCTGCCTTTGGCTCAGGTCATGATCCTGGAGTCTAAGGATGGAGCCCCACATTGGGCTCCCTGCTCAGCGGGGAGTCTGCTGCTCCCTCTGACCCTCCCCCTCTCATACTCTCTCCACTCTCTCTCTCAAAGAAATAAATACAATCTTTAAAAAAAAATCCTGGGTACCTTGTAAAATGTGTGTGTATATACGCGAGAACGTGTGAGAGTGTGCATGTGTGCACATACTTGGGAGCATCTATGTGTGCTTGAGTGTATAAGAGCATGTATGTGTGCATTTGTTGTGCATGTGGGTAGGTGGCAATGGCTCTTTTTCCTCTAACTTGCCTGACCACAAGCGCCTGAAATTCTCCCACAGAGAGGATCACTGTTTCGGGCTGAGTCAATTCCCCAAATATTTACTGACACTTCTGGCATGCTCGACACTCTCTGGGCTGCAGGGCAGTCACAAGGAAGGCACCCCTGTCCTCAGTCACCGAGCTGGTTAGTAACTTATGTATTTTCCTTTCCAGGAGGCTCTTTAAAAATTCTCATTTCTGGGGCACCTGGGTGGCTCAGCCGGTTAAGCATCTGCCTTCGGCTCAGGTCATGATCCCAGGGTCCTGGGATCGAGCCCCACAACGGGCTTCCTGCTCAAGGCGGGGGGGGGCCTGGTTCTCCCTCTCCCACTCCCCCTGCTTGTGTTCCCTCTCTCTCTCTGTCAATTAAATAAAAAATTAAAAAAAGACTTCAAAAAACAAATAACTTTTTTTTTTTTGAGAGACAAAGTGCGGCAGGGGTGGAGGGGGGCAGAGGGAGAGGGAGAGAGTCTCTTAAGCAAGCTCCATGCCCAGCACAGACCCCCACGCAGGGCTCCATCTCACAACCCTGAGATCATGACCTGAGCTGAAATCAAGAGTCGGACGTTTAACTGAATGAACCACCCAGGCACCCCATAGATAAATAAATTTTAAAACAAGAGCAAGGAATAAAAAGACTATTGAAATGACACGGCAGACATGAAAAAGAACAAAACAGGACTTCTAGGGGAGCCTGGCTGGCTCCTTTGGTGGAGCGTGCAACTCTTGATCTCAGGGCTGTGGGTTTGAGCCCCATGTAGAGATTACTTAAAAATAACTTTTAGGGGTGCCTGGGTGGCTCAGTCGGTTAAGCCTCTGCCTTCTGCTCAGTTCATGATCCTGGGGTCCTGGGACCAACCCCATGTCGGGCTCTCTGCTCCACGGGAAGCCTGCTTCTCCCTCTCCCGCTCCCCCTGCTTGTGTTCCCTCTCTCGCTGTGTCTCTCTCTGTCAAAAAAATAAATTTTAAAAAATCTTTAAAAAAAAAAAGAAAAAGTTGGGGCGCCTCGGTGGCACCATTAACTGTCTGCCTTCAGCTCAGGTCATGATCCCGGGGTCCTGGGATCGAGCCCCGCATTGGGCTCCCTGCTCAGCAGGAAGCCTGCTTCTCCCTCTCCCGCTCCCCCTGCTTGTGTTCCCTCTCTCACTATCTCTCTGTGTCAATAAATAAATAAATAAATAATCTTTAAAATAAAAAAAAAAGAAAGTAACACACAGAGAGAAAAAAATTAAAACTATGAAAGAGAAGTTAAAAGACAGGATCATAGCATGAGGTCTAACATAAGCCCAACTGAAGTTCCAGAATGAGAGGAGGAGGAAAGAGGAGAGGTAATATTGAAGATATGGAGGCTGAGAATTTGCAAATTAATAAAAGACGTGGACCCTCAAATTTAGGAAACACAATGTATTAGATTCCTAGGGCCAGTGTAACAAAGTACAACAGACTATGTGGCTTAATCCACAGAAATTTACTTGTTTTTTCCTAAGATTTTTATTTTTATTTCTTATTTTTTTTAAAGATTTTATTTATTTATTTATTTGAGAGAGAGAGAATGAGAGATAGAGAGCATGAAGGGGAAGAGGGTCAGAGGGAGAAGCAGACTCCCCGCCGAGCAGGGAGCCCGATGCGGG